ATTGACATCCGTTGGTCTGTGTGTTATTTGTGTGTGTGTGTGAGAGAGAGTGAGTGAGTGAGAGAGAGAGAGAGAGAGAGCGATGGTGACGCTGTCTGCGTCGTTCACTTCCTGAAGGCATCGCCGTGGAGATGTTCAAGACCACTCTCTGCTACCTCCGGGGAAACCCTAGATCAGTAGATCGGATGACGGCGGCTCTCTGGTGTCGTTTCCTCCCTGGGGGCGTCATTCTTGGAGGTGCACACGGACTCGAGGGACTAGAGGACGACGACTTTGGTGGAGCGGTGCTTCATCTTACACATTGATGGTGGCGGATCTCGACGGCATGGTGCTGTGGAGACTCGGCGTCTGATGCGCGGAGATGGACTCGTGCAGGAGGAGGAAGCTGTCTGGCGTCATGGGGGCGTCGATGGCAGAGTGGCCAGACAAGGTAGAAGCCTCAATATGATCTGAAGACGGACCTGTGGAAGATGGCGGCGACGACACACGAGTGCGTCTGACCGGATTGTGCCCCAGACCCGGTATGTGGCTCGGCTGGGGTTTCCGGCTTTTGATGTTAGGCTTAGGTGAGTGGTTTGGGTAGTGGCCCAGCTAGCATCCCTTCATCATATGGATAGGAATAATGGCATATGTTGCCAAGATGATGGATTCAGGTATATTGTTTGTAGTACTTTGTAAGGTCCTTAAGAATAATCAATAAAGTGGCCGTATGCATCTCCCAGATGCAGAGGCCGAGGGTCATCCTCCTTTTCTAAAAAAAATCTTCATGGGACCAATATATTTGCAAGTGCTCATGTAGCGCTATGAACATATCATTTTAGATATAGTTCTGAGATTAGTCATTAATCTACTTAGTCATCTTGCTCTATTTAAACTGGTGTCATGATCGCAAGCATATTGTATCAGTTAGAGTTAATGTATGGCATTGTCTGAGTTCTTCGGTAGGGACGACGCTTGTTTCGAACAGGGTAGCGGGCGATGGATCGTTGGAGTGACCCATACTAGCAAGTCAAGTTGTCGTACCTCAAGGAACCAAAGGGTTCTGCTCTTCTGGAACCAGTTCCATGTGGTTCTAGCACAGGTTGTCTGACATTGGAGTACCTCCTCCCCTTTTAAGAGTGTAAAAGTGTGAAATTTGCCCCTTGTGACTTCCGGGGTGGGAAGCATATTGGTCATGTGTCACACCAATAATTTCTTTGTCCATTTCTATTGTATTGTTCCTTTTTTTCATTTTTGTTGAATTTAGTCCTGCCAATTATTATATTCTTTATCCTTTGAATCCAGTTCATCCATTCACACACACCATCATACCACCTTATTTAATAGTGAAGTATTTGCTTGCTGAGTATGAGTCGTACTTACCCTTGCTTTTTTCTATTTTCTTATGTAGTAGATCGATTAACATAAGAATGCGCCGAAGACTTCAGATAGAGTGGGTTTTCAGCTCCCGGGTGCCTAGGCACCCTCTATGAACAGTAAAATCAAAACAAATAGAAAAAAAAAATAAAAAAATCTAAAACTTTGCAACATCAAAGATGATCAAACTTTGTAGGCGCTTGCAAGTTTTCATGCCAAAAAGTTATTCGAGGAGCTCTACACACGAAAAAGTTTTCATTGCTTGAAGTTTTGAGCATTTTTAGGACTGAAATTTAAAACTAATTCGTACACCTTTCTCTACATGATTTTTTAACATGAAAACTTGCAAGAACTCACAAAGTTTGATCATCTTTGAAGTTGTAAAGTTTCTGATTTTTTGATTTTGTTTTCTATTTTTTTATGTTACTGTTTATAGAGGGTGCCTAGGCACCCAGGAGCTGTCACACCTTTCTCCTTCAAGTAATAGGCTTGACTAGCGGGTGGGAAGCAACTAGCAAATGCAATGTATTTAGTTGTAAATGTGAAAATTTGTAAAGTAAATATATAAGCTTTTATGATCCAATGCTGATTTATGCATGCTTAATATATGACCTTGCGTGATTATGGGCCACACTTGATGTATAGACGCGTGGTGTCTCTCTCGCCTAGGCCCTGTACTGGGCGTGACAAACCGCTGACCGTGCGCAATTGCATTTAACGTATTTCATTTATTTGTAACCTCGATTAAAAAAGAATCATGTTAAAACACAAATTAAGAGGAAAAAAAAGTATGAAAAGTTGATAAAAAGAGAAACATAAAAGAAAAAAGAAACATGCTAACGTTACTCGACTGAGACTTAACCATATCGTAACTACTACTCCTTCTGTTCTAAAATATAAAAACATTTTTAACACTACACTAGTGTCAAAAACGTTCTTATATTATGAGAAGGAGGGAGTACTTTAAATCCGAGGATTACCCACCACAAGAATTACATTATTGCTGTGCGCGAGGGTGATACACCTCTACGGCACAAGATAAATTTCTCTTACAAAAAAGGATCAACGCTTCAAAATCCACTCGTCTCATCTCTGACATCCGCTGTCACATTACTCTGCTTGCTTGGCCATCATTCCTCATACAATCTTTCTGTATGGAATTGGCTCCCGACGGCAGAAAATGGACCCTAAAACGAGCAAGAAACCTCAAGATGATGAGATCTCGCCGCCGGCGAAACCTTCGACTGGTCTAGTACATGAGAGACCTGCAGGACAGCTGACAGATCGGCGGCAGATCCCACAGCGAGTCGCAGGGGTCGCTCCCGATGTCGAACCCGTCGTCCTGTTCCTGCTGGACGACCCCGCTCATGGCGGCGCCGGGCGACGCGGAGTCCTCTTGCTTCTCCGGCCTCGCCGCGTCCGCGATCACCCGGCACTCGGCCACGTTGCGTCGCGCGGCGAGCGTCGGGGCAGCCGGGCTGAGCGTTGCCGGCCATGGCTGATGCTCGAGGTGCTGATGGAGCTGTTCGCCTCCGTGGTTGATCCACTGGTGGTAAGTCATGTGGTTAGAGAGGCCGGGAGCGGGAGTGTGGTGGGCGGCGGCTCCACCGGCGCTCATGGCGAAGCTGATGGTCGAGCTGGTGCTGTTACCGGCGCTGGCATTACTAGCTGCCGTGGCGAGGCTGATGGTGACAGCGGGCTGCTGGGACGGCGCCCGCGGCGGCGGCGGCGAGGCGCTCTTCTTGAGCTTCTTGTGGGTGAGCAGGGTGCGGATCCTGGAGGCGAGCGGCGAGTCCGGCGGCGAGGAGGCGGCGGCGGGGGCGGCGGTGGCGAAGTTGGTCCGCGTGTTGGAGCCCCGGAGGAGGCAGGCGGCCTCGTCGTAGGCGCGCGCGGCCTCCTCGGCGGTCTCGAAGGTGCCGAGCCACACCCGTATCTTGTGCGTGGTGTCCTTGATCTCCGCCACCCACCGCCCCGACGGCCGCTGCCGCACCCCGACGAACTTGCACTTGCTGCTGCCCCTCCCCTTCGCCGCCGCCGCCGCCGCCTTGCCCACCGCCGCCTCGTACTGGCATTGCTGCTGCTGCTGCTGCTGGAACTGGAGCTCCATTGATTAATTCTCTCTCTCTCTCTCTCTCTCTCTGGTCTGGTCTGAAGTCTGAACTTTGGTTGGAGGAGGTTGTGCATGAATTTAAGGGAGGGGAGGCGCTGGGGCGAGGTCGTGGAGGGCTTGTCATGGCGCGCATGTCTGTAATGGCGAGATCTTTGTTAGTGGGGTAGCGGGAGGCTGAGTTTTCTAGGGGCGCTAGACGTTGAATCCTGTGGGTTATCTCGATGTTTGATGTGGTCGTACGTCGTGGCTGGCATGTTTGTCCTCTCCCCAGGTTGACGACAGCGCCCTTTGTTCTCAGGCCGGGCGACGAGCGCTACGTGTCTCGCTGCCGCGCCATGTCCTCGCCGAGGAAGGAGCGACCGAGCGACGTGGAGAGGATGAAGAAGAAGATGTGACGACGAGGAGGGGGAGGGAGGGAGGGAGGGGGTCACGTTTTCCCTCGAATTGATTCATTAATTCCTTGTGTGTTAGAGCCCGCGCACTAGTGCTGAGTAGTGATGACCACCGTTAGTTTATTGATGCTTCTTTTCGGGACGCCATTTGTCAGGTGCCTTCATGATTGGCAGTTGCAATCAGTTTTTCTTGCAATTTGGCTGGTCATTGTCATGTAGGAGTATATACAAAATTCAACATGCATCTGCCTGCTTCATTAGTGGTTCTTCGTCCGTGCATTTCAAATGTTATAAACCACTCCGGCCGGTAGACCTGTCCAGCGTTCTCTCTTCGTGTGCAACATGGCACGCATAAGGAAAAGGAAAACGATGCTTAACCTTTTCTTTTAGGAAGGTCAAACACCATATATTAAGTAGGGCAGGCCCGTAGAAATATATCTTTGTAGAGAATGAAAAATACATATAACTTTTTGGGATGCCGAAGCCTTCTCCCTTTTGCATCCATCGGCATCGCGCCGTGAGCAAAACTCGTAGCCGCCTCTTAGCCTCCGTCTTAGCAGAGTAAACTTGTTTAAATCCAGAAGCCTGTAAAAGCAGCGGCCGAAAAGTTGTCATGGTATACCAGAAGACGGAGGCGGCTGCGGTCTGCATAGTAAAAACTCCAAAGACCACGAGCACCAACCGAATTTAGACGGGTCCACGGGAGAACAAAATCAACCGCATACATGAAGATCCACTAAAGACACACCTCCACTGACGCTAAGTGCACCGACGAAACGAGAATAGGAGAGGACACTATTCCTAAATTGGGCTGGCATATTGAGAGTTAACTGCATATAAGATTTAAGTGTACATGTTTCATTTAATTTAACTTTGGGCTGGCATATTGAGAGTTAACTGCATATACAAACAAATGACATACATACAAATCAGCTTTAATAACATTTTTCCCCGAATATGCTAAGGTAGCGTATCATTCCATTGATAGGTAAGGTTAGGGGGAGAAGTTTACAGGGTAGCGACCTTCGGTGCCATACACACGGATGGCGGCCTCGAAGGCGCTAAGTTGAGCAGAGAAGGTTGCTCAGCCATTATAAGGGAGGTTCAGGTTACAAATCAGCTTTAATAATTAAAAGACTTGATTAAAGATCACAGGCACTTGTTGCATTGTGAGTGAGTGCAGCAATCAGAGTCACTGGACTACTCTCACCCTCAGATAATGTGTGTATCAGCTGCCCCGGTTTCCCCAATTTCTCCAGTGTAACTGATGATGCTGAGAAATCATCGTTGCCCTCGAGATTCTTGAGCTGAAATATGGTAAATGTAGCCAGCACAGACTTCAACTTGCTGTTGAGTTGGATGCTGGTAGCCGAGTCTGGGTGCATTGTATTGATCCAACAAAAGCTTCGACCTCCTGGGAGGGGGCACAGAAACTGCCTTGAGACGTGGTCTGTTGGCCCAACGACGAACTCCCGGATGGGAAGCCATTTGGTACTACCGTCCATGGGCAGGGAGAAGAGCGTGATTGCATCCTCATTGTTGCTCCTGGTTTTCGTACAGGCGGCAAACATGCGATCGCAGAGGGGTGCCGCCGGCCCGATGAAAGGCAGGTTATTGTCATCAACGCGTTCCCATGTTTTGCTCGCGACATGGAAGACGCAGGTGCCCTCCTCCTGCTGCAGGGAGAGGAAGATGCGCCCGTCCACGGCGGCGTAGGACCCGACGCAGACCTCCGGCGGATTACGGAACTCGATCGGGGTGAGCCTGCAGGGGAAGAAAGGCGGCGCCTTCTCAGTGGCGTAGGGGTAATTAATGGAGGGGATGCCGTCCTCGAAGCTTAGGACCTCGAAGTCCGTCCAGGGCACCACCCGGGGGCGGCGCGTGATGGCGTAGAGCATGCCGCCGTGCGAGATGAGGACGGGCTGGTGCTTGGGGGACAGGACTGGCGGGCCCCGGATCACCTCCGACGTGCCGGCGTCGTAGGTGACGGTGGTCTTGCCGCCGACGCCGACGATCCAGTCGCCGCCGTGGTTCGAAGAACTCACGGCGACGAAGGACATGCCCGGCGCGCCGAAGGGTGCCCCGGCGTGGCTCGGCGGCTTGATCACCTCGCACTTGTTCTCGGTCTCGTGCTCCACCACCAGGTACAAACCATTGGGTGGTGGTTGATCTCGCGGCTCTCCTGCTCTTGCTCTCTTTCTCAGCCCCTGCTCTGCTCCTCCTCCTCTCGATCTGGTCTCCATGTTCTCCTCTGCAGCGAACGGGGCGAGTTCGTTAGGGTTTCGCGCACAAACAGGGGCGACTGGCGGTTTTCTCTGGGATCAATTGGATTGGATGCGGTCCTCTTCCGTAAGGGGGTAGTATATATATCAAGACTATGCTCCATGACTCCTCTTCCGGAGGAGAGACCGAGAGACACACGGGCAAGATTCTTTTTAAAAAAAAAACTGGAAACGGGCCACATTGTTTTCCATGGACTGGAGGGGATGGTTGGCCTTTCAAGGCCGCGGCGACTATATCTCGCTTCACGCGAGATGGAAGGGCTCATAGGGATTCGATCCCAGGTCTGCATGGTCTACGAGTCTACGTCGCTGATACTGCAAAGTATATATAACGGGATGGTGGATCCTGAACCAACGAGAAAGAAATTGTTCATTTCCCCTCAAAAAAAAGAAGAAAGAAATTGTTCATGGACGACACGACACCTTCCAACGGACGGAAATCACGCCACGCTAGGTATAGGTAGCTACTGCACTCTGCCGCTCTGGATGAAGGAGGATACGTATGTGCCGTCGCTGAATCTAACGACGATGGAGCCTGGAGGGCAACCACCAATCAACTTTGACAAATGGTTTTAAGTGTTTGTAACTTTTCATCATGAGATAACATTCGTGAAAAGCGCGGCAAAAAAAAAAAGTTCTAGAAAATGCTTTCGAAAGCAGTATTTTTGAAGCATCGATTTTTCCTTTTGCCATGCCTTCCACGAATGTGATCTCATGATAAAAATTTACAAGCACTTAGAACATTTGTCAAAGTTTACCAAAAAGTCAGATTTTTTCTTTTTTACTATTCGTCCAAGCTCATTTGAGCCCGAGCTCAGATACTCCATGTCTGAGGGATTGCCGATATGTTTCCATTACACTATTTTGGGGGGCAGACATGGTTGGTCCTGTGATTTTACTGGTTCGGGGCAAAACAAGAATACAGGCTTATGGTAAGAGTAATATAAGTAGTAACATGCATGTCACATAAGCAAAAAAAAAGTGACGTATCGTGTAATTAAAGAAAAGAGAGACAAATAAAGTAACAGAACAAGTTACCATCACATAGCACTTCCTAATGAAAATGACTCCACAAACTAATAACTAAAAGTCTCTATGTTATCACACTTATGACACTACCCACTATGTTACCCACTAGTACCATAGACTAGTAATTTATGCATGTTATTAGTCTAAGTTACTCCCCCACTATGACTAGCCTCCATATAAACAGTTAATACGACTAATGTGAAATGACACATATACTCCGAATAATCTTATCTTTACTGCATAAAAATCATATTTTATTGATTAAATTAACGGTCAAATTTGACATAATACGAGGATGGCTAACAAGTCCGGATGAAGGGAGTACAAGTGTGGTGATTTCATTAGATGTGTCACGCCACGAGACCGGGCCTAGGCAAGATAGCCGCCACGCGCCTATAAACCAGGGGGCCTATAGTCAAGCAAGACGTCATTAAGTAGGCATAAACCAACACTGGATCCTGAAAGCTCATATATTCGCTTTACAAATTTCTTCACATTTATGAATAGCTCGATAAATTATTCTCTAGTCACTTCCCACACACTTGACCATCCTATTATAAATGAGGATGTGTTCTGGACGTATTTTATGTTAATACGTTAGATGTAAAAAAAATGAGAAAGCAACTGCAAGTATAAGGCTAGTCATAGTGAGAGTAACATAGGTAGTAACATGCATTTACATGCAATCCTAACTAGGAAAATTGGTGAGTTGGCACACTATTAAATGAGGAAAGAGAGGAAGGTGATAACATATTATGTAACCATCACATAGCGCTTTCCAAGAAACAATGAGCCTATACACTAATAAATGCAACAATCCATGATACTACCTCTAAATTACTTTGTACTATGAAGGTAGTAACATAGACTAGTGTCATATGCATGACACTAGTTTAAGTTACTCCCCATTATGACTAGCCTGACAAGTCATACTTAGCAAGCTAGTCATACACAATCACATAAATTGCAGAATAAAATGCTTTAAAAAATTAATTAAAACATTCTAAAGTTATTAGTTAAGCTTTTGAAATCATGGTGCCACACAGAAGGTAAGCTTCCCGAACCAGAGGGTGTGTTGCCTGTAGGTTGCCGAGTATTGGGGGCTGCAGCACCTAATTCATCTCATTTCCAAGCAAACAGTTTAGCCTTGCCCATGGTTAGATGCTTTATCAATATCTATAAAATGAAATCGAGAACAAGGAGCTCCTTTAATCCAAAAAATAGGTATGGTATCTTGGACACCAGCTCGTTGATTGACAATCGATCCTAGCCCAGAAATCCATGTTTCTCTATGACATCTTAATTTCAACTGAAATCACGCAACCCTTTGTGGCTTGCTAGTGTATCCACTTCTATTGCCTCCGATCAAGGGTGTTCAATTCTTTTGTTATTGTATCTGATGATGGGGAGGGGGATGTTTGACTTTTTATGTTCTTCATTGATTGCTATAAGAGATTTACTTTCGATACCAAGTACAAATATTGCAAACATTATCAACTTGTTGTTGTAACCACTAACATGCATTAAGGGTCATGTCGGTTGGTCAATCTGCAGTCTAGAATCATAGTAATTTGCTACTGAATATTACACTAGAACTCGTGTTAAAAAGATTTTATAGATAATATGTTTAAGGGCCTCACCGGACTGCAAGAACTCTAAAATGCAGGAATAAAAAATTAAGGATTGAGAAGATATACACCACCGAATCATGTAGGCACTCAAAATACAAGAATTCTATGGTATGTGTCTTTGGATGAAACAAACACAGTGATTATGGAGAATTGATGAGAGAAGGTAGAGAGAGATAGAGCAAAGGTGCATTGGACTTGTCAAAGGAAAATTAAAAGGAGGTTTAAGTTCATGTTCAGATTTGTATTGAATGAGGTGCATGGGGAAGGATTCCATAGGAGTATAGTAAGCCCTATTGTTTGATCCAAAGGGCTTCCATACAAAAAATACCCTTATCATCCGAATTATAAAAAATTCCTACAGTCTAAAGAGGCTCTAAAGATTTCTACCAAGATATTTAAGGGTATTGAAATATACAAGCACACACATAATTATATGCATATACACTATGTAATTCATGCAAACTTCAAGATTTAATCCAAGGAGTCTTGCAATTTATTACTTTTATTTCTTTTCACAATTATGGGCATCCTTTTCAAAATCTCATTGACAATCATTGTCTAAAAAATGTAGTTTGAACTGCAGAGGTAGTTTAAAATTTGCAGAGCATATATGTATTTTAATATACATTACATTACAAACAACAATACAATTAATATGTAACAACATTTTTGTTAACTATACCAAGTAAATAATATGGAATATTTATCAGTTATGGATGTACCATAATTAAAAAAAGTTACACACAAATATAAAAGTTTAGTTTAAATTATATTTATTTTAAGAAGTGTCATATCAAAATTTGGTTTGGATCAGACATAATCCTTCCCGTCTGTCACCTCCTGTTTAATGAGCAAAGCGGGGTTGTAGAGGAGTGCAAACGTTAATTATGTTGGTGTTCGTTCTGCATGTACGAACCTGGGTATTTAAGCACGCAATATTCATTTTACCTCAACGAACTACATATCACCCTTTACAACAATCATGGTTTTTAGGACGTCCAATGCATTTGTGGGGAAAAATTGAAAAAAGTCTAAATGTTATTATATTTCTAGTTTATGTGAAATCTAGTCTTATTCTTTTCTTTAGAAAGAAATTATGATTTTTTAAGATTTTCACTTGTATGTATGATAACAATGACACACATTTAATCTCTACAAAAATTCACATATTTTTTATGTTGCAACCATTTTTTTTATCATTCCCTGATGTGTTTTCGATCCCTAAGTGTCATCACATTCCGTTATTGTCTATATTTTTTTATCAAAAATCCGCACATTTAATCTATATATATGATTCCAAGTGTCGTCACATTCCGTTACCGAGTTATTGTCTTATGGTTTTGCAATTCTATGAACCAACGAGGTCATAAGAACTTAGAGTTGGTGGAATTTTCCAATGGAATCTAGCGCAAACAAATTCTAAAGGTAGTTTTGTATAATTTGAAATCTTGAGAATCAAACAACCTAGAGGGGAAAAATCATAAGGATTAGAATCCCCCTCCTTTTGTCTTTGGAAGCCCGTTAAGTCACAGAGGCCCCTGGATATTTGGATAACGGTTAAGGTCTTGAGACATATAAAGTATCCAATAGACACTCCTGCAGGCATGCCTAGCAGTGGCGGGCGCCTAAAGCCCAGCAGTGGCGAGCGAGTCTCTTTAGGCCGCCCGCCACTGACCTTACACCACTGCTAAAGGGGCATCAGTGGCGGGCGCCTGCTCGCCCGCCACTGGTAGGAGTGGCGGACGGCGTAATTTGCCTGCCAGTGTAGTCCATCTCGTAGCAGTGGTGGGCGACCCTACCAATGGCGGGCAAGGTGCAACGCTCGTCGCTACTCTGTGAAGTACGTGTGGTGGGCGCTTATTTCCTTTGGGTCCCCTCGATCGCATATAAAAAAATGTGAATTTAAATTTGTTCATAAATTTTAAAAACAAGTTCATGATTCTGAAAAAAAAATCACCGAATATGAAAAAATGTTTATTGAAAATGAAAAAAGTTCATGGATTTTGAATAAAAAAGTTCATCAAATTTGAAAGAAGATCATCAAATTTGAAAAAAAGTTCATCGGTTTTGAAAAAAGTACATCGAAATTGAAAAAGTTCATCGATTTGAAAACAAGTTCATCAAATTTCAAAAAAATGTTCGTTAAATTTTGGAAAAAGTTCATTGAAATACAAAAAAGGTTCATCAATTTGAAGAAAAAGTTCATGTATTTGCAAACAAATTCATCGAATCAGGAAGAAGAAAAAAGAAAGTTGAAAGAAGGAAAAAGTGGAGAGTTACCAGATCCAGCTGGTGGCGGGG